TTATAAATTATGATATAATTAAATTATAAGAAATTAGATTTTAATAAGTAATTTTGTAATTATATTAAATATTAATTATTTTTCGTAAAAATCACAGTCAAAAGCTAAAAAATGACATTTTTAACTTTATATATAAAATTACTATAAATCTACTGTAATTTTCTGTAAATTTAAAAAAAAACATTTTAAAAAAAAATTACTAAACACACAAATATTTAAAAAATATGGTACGACTACATGAAAAAGCTTTCAACCACAATCTCAAACCCACCCCAAGTTGGTTTAGATAAGCACTACAAGAAAATCCACATTTAGTGACTAAATTATTGATCATTAAATCTTTATTTTTCATCACAAATTATTATTAGTGATAAAATTTAAACCGTTAATAAAACTCTTGTCACTAAGAGCATTAGTGACAAATTAGGCACCAATCACAAAAAATAATTTTATAGTGATAGAAAAAATTGACATTATTAACAAGTTATTTATAACAATTTTATTCGTCATAAAAACATATTCGTCACAAATGCAATTATGATGTAAAATTTAGTCATTAATTATTAAAATTAATATTAAATAAAACAGATATTTATATAATTATAACACAAATATTTTAACAAAAAATTTATCAAAAAAATAATATATAAATTTATCACAAAAGTTTAATAAAAAAATTATTATTTCAATACTAATTAATTTTGATTAAAATTAATCAAATCCGATTAAAATTAACCAAGCCTGATTAAAATTAATCAGATCCAAACTAATCTCAAGTTTTATTGAGTTTCACATGTTTTATAGTGCAAAAATTTATTTTCTTAAATATTTCTTATTGATATGAAATATATTTATAGTGCAAAACATTATTCTCTTATGTGTTTTTTATCGATGTGTGATGCATTGATTAGAGAAAATTGACAATTTTTAGTGACAAAATATATTTTTTAGTGATAAATTATTTAGTTATCATTGAATGTATAAGGTATATGTAACCAATATTAGAATTTTGTCATAATTGTAATACATTATAGTGATGATTTTTATCGACAAAAATTTATTTTATCTCTATAAACATTTTTCATGGACAAAATATATTTTTTATGATGAATTTTTTTGTTTATCATTAAATATGTATACATTTGTGACTAATTTTTTAAATCTGTCACAATTGTGATAAATTATAGTGATGATTTCAAAATTTATCACGAATTTCTGTCACTAAAAATCATTTTACTTGTAATGAAGTAGATTTCAGAGAATCTAAAATTTTAATTGTAGAATACAGTTTCTAATAGATTGAGACGAAGGGCTTCAAAACAGTGGGAGAAAACAATTTCATGAAGGATATTATTAGTGGTGTATCAATTTCTAATCTTGAGATCATTCAAATGGGTTACAAACAAGTCATTCCAAGTATCTGTAATTCCTGGTAGGCACCAGTGCATGCAATCGTCGTGTTTCTTTCCACCAGCGGTGGCCGGATGGGCATCTGCTCCGAACTCACTCATGCGGGTGATGTCTAAAACATGCAAATTAGACTCCTCAAGGGCCTTGTATAGGTGTTCATTCACCATGCGTGCCTCCACATTTGTCCCATTATTCTTTAGCGAGAAGAGTTCTTCAACCTGAAAGAGGATATGAAGAGCTAAACATCTTAACCTCAATTCACAGCAGAACAGAAACAATAGACAAGCAAGTACATTACATAAAAAATGATAATGCTGTGTTGTATGACAGGATGCAAGCTGCAATAATTAATAATCAGTAAAGAAAACTCACTTGCTGAGGCAACATAGGTTGTAACCGTTGGCAAGAACCACCTTGGTTCCAGTCACCTCCTCCAAAATGCCTAGGTGATTGCGTGCGAAAAAATTTAATTGTCCCGTCTGGAACCTCTCTCCACAAACATTATCTTCCATAGAAAATAAAATAGCAAATGAGAAAGAAACTAACAAGTAGTTAAATTAAAGCCAGAAATAAAGTTCATTCCCAATATTAGTTAAATTAAAGAAACTAATGTATACTACAATACTTCACTCCCCTAAAAGATGGAATTTTGTTTTCTTAGTAAATCAACAATTCTTGGTTAAGGACAAAGAACTTAAGCAATCACACTGACATTAAGTATAATGCAGAAAAAACAGCAAAACCAGCTTACCCACCGTAACGGACCAAAAGATTGGTTCGATGATATGCAATGGTGAGATTATGCTGAAGAAACGTAAACCCCCGATCAGCCCCAGCAGGACGCCATTTCTTCACTTCACTAGACACCCGTTTCAGAGTGCAGAATAAAGAAACAAACATATTCCTATTCAAGGAATCGCCAAACCCTGCACTGCTAAACATCCGTAAGGTCTAAAAATTGCAGGATACATCAAAAAGAACAAGTGTGTCACTTCAATTGCTGAAATTTAGAGAAATCTCCCTGCTTTCCCAAATTTCCCAGAAACCAAATAAGGCCCAGGTGAGAGAATACCAATGTTAGTATCTCTATAGGTCTCGAGAAACTTGAGCGGATCCAACTGCGGGGACAAAAGCCCCCCACTTTGCCTTTCAACTTTTTGAGTATGGGGCACTTTACCCCTCAATTTACAATTTATAATTTTTTATCTTCCAAGTTTTCAAGTTTATGAAAATAAAGCAAAATTTAACATCAAACCTCACATGCATCACGTGCGTGTTATATTGCCGTTAAGCCTTTCCTAGTAAGTGTCACCACCATAAAGAATAACCATGTGTCAAGTGTGATGTGGCATGTGGCATGTGGCATGTGATTTCATTTTAAACTTAAAAATATTTAAATAAATTAAAAAATCAAATTTACATGATAATTAGTCAAATGAAGTTAATATTATTTAAGATTAATTGAATATTTAAGAAATAACCTAAATAAGAATCATCCACTTATTTTCTTGATTTGTTCTATGCCTTTTTTCCCTCTTCATCTTCTTCCCATCTCTGGTTACTTCCTTCCTTCCTTTTCCAACGCATATCTTCCTCACCTCCTTCGTCCTCTTCTTCTTCTTCCTCATGTAACCCGTCACCTTCGCATCTCCAGTATGGATTCAAGCACATCTTTCTCCTCCCTCTCCCTCTCCCTTTCCCTCTCTTCCCCCTCCTTCCTTTCTCTCTCTTCTTGCTACTTCCTTTCCATGCGAATTGAGGTTTTGGATTTGATGGAACCTAGATCTAGGTTCTATCGAACCCAAATTGCTAGGTTCCATGAAACCCAAATCTAGGTTAACCCAAATTTCTAGGTTATAGAATCCAATAACCTAGTTCAAGAAACCTAAATTCCAAGGTTTCCCAAACCCAGGTTTATAGTTTTTTTTTTTTTTTAGCAATAGCCAACGATCTATATATGTATTTTCTTGATGGAATTTTTTTTTTCAAATTTTTTGGTTGTGGAATGGAAATTTAATGTTATGAATTGTGCAAATTTTTGTTTATATGGATAATTGAAATACGCCATGAAATTGTGAATTTGAATGGGAAAAAGGGCAAAAGCATGTGTGGAGAAACAAGAAGCATGTCGGCGATCCAACTCCTCTCTAGCCATTGCTATGTTTTGGGTTTGGGTTTAGCTCGGTTCTGCTGGCGACTCAAGATCTGCACTAAAGAACCACCATGCAGCACCATTGAAACGAGAAGATTGTTATGAGATCTAGAAAAGCAACAACTTTGTGGATGGTACCTTCAAAGATCTAGTTGCTAGACATTTATTTCCTCATGCTTCATTATGGGAAATCGAGGGAAAATAGTGCAAGACAAAAGAGGGTATCGACAATGGTGGACAATTCCAAGTCTGTTTATTATTTAGCTAAAAATCTTCCTTTTGTTAATGATAAGACTTGGTCTGTCATTTGGAAGGTTAAAACTTTTCCAAAAATTCACCATCTTCTCTGGCTTCTTGGTCATGGGAAACTTTTAACCTTTGAGCTATTATTTAGTTGAGGCGTCACTGACAGCAACACTTGCCCGAGATGTGGCAATGCCCTAGAACTCTCAACCATCTATTTCGTGAATTCCCCTATTCTCGGATCCTATGGACCCTCATGACCCCTCAACATATCAACTCTCTATATCATGATATGGATTTTAAAGATTGGCTTACAAATCATTGTGCCTCTAGTGAGATTATTCATGGGGCTCACTGGAATACTATTTTCTCTTTTGTTGTCTGGTTTATTTGGTATCTTCGTAATCAACTTGTTTATGATAGGAGAGATTTCTCTATTGATAGTGCTAGAGAATTTATCCAGCAAAAAATTGAAGAGTTCAAGAGGATTACTTTTGCTCCAACCGTTGATACCCCAAATCATCTAGTTTTGGTTGGTTAAAGACCTCCACCTGCTGGATTTGTGAAGCTAAATACTGATGGTCCAGTTTTAAAAAATCCAAGTATTGCTAGTGCAGGAAGAGTCTTTAGGGATGATCTTGGGAACTGGTTATGTGGATTCTCTCGTTATGTGGGGATTACGACTAGCCTCTCTGCTGAGTTGTGGGCTATTTGTGATGGTCTCAGAATAGCTATCCACAGAGGATTCTCTAAACTACTTGTGGAGACTGATTCTAAAATGGCTACCATTTTGTTAGATACTAACTGTCATAAATTTCACTCACTGGGAACTCTTATTTCTGACTGCAGGGCTATGCTGAACTAGTTCCATGAGATTCACATCTTGCACGAGTACAGGGAAGCAAATGGGGTTGCTGACTGTTTAGCTAAAATAGGCACTAGGCAACAGTCTAATTTTGTTATGTATGATCAATGCCCTTCTAATGTTTCCTTTGTTTTGTACTGGGACGCTATTAGGAATGTTCTTCCCAGAATTGTATTGGATAATTAATTACTAATGCTATCGTATTTTACCAAAAAAAAAAAAAGACAATGGTGGACGATCAGAGGCGCAGGCACAACTCTCAAAGGGAAATCAATTGTTATTCTATTAGGGTTTATAAAGGTGATGAATTAGAGGAGAAGGAGAGAGATAGAAAAAGGGAAAAGAAAAAGATGCTAGAGAGAAGGAGATCTAGGAAGAAACAAAAAAGTTAGATGGTAATTCAGAGTGGAGCCCATAATGAATGGAGATAAACATGAAAGATCCAAGTTGGCCTTGCCAACATGTAAATAAAGTCCAATATGGCACTAACACATACTAGTATGATGGAGGTCAATGGTGCACATGCTACGTGTGATGCTCCCACGTTAAATTTTGATTTATTACCATAAATTCAAAAAATTGAAGGGTAAAAAATCATAAGTTATAAATTGAGGGGTAAAGTGCCTGAGAAACTTTATATAAAAAGAGAAAAACAAAACAAAACATGAGAATCAAAAGAGTCATCATCTCAACAAAATGAATTATTGTTCTCTTAAACATGAGGATCACACTTTTTCCTCCCATGAAAATAATAAAGTTTATCTCATTAGGGAAAATGCTTACGGCTACCATTCAATTTGTTAAGATCATCAATAATTATTAAATTTTTATTTTAATTTAATTATTAAAAATAATTAATAATATCTAATATGTTTTGAAGAAAAAAATAAAATAATTATTATTTATTATTTAATAAAATAAAATTTATTTATTTAAGAAATTATAAATTAATAAAACTACAAATAAATTAATATGTTTGTGAGTAGGAATGAGTCTCTTCTTTGTATTTCTCTTAAATCAAACAAACTATTAGAGATGTTAACAAAGTCCCGCGGGACTGAAGAGTTCCCTCATCTTTGTCCCCACGAATAGCGGGCATGGGAAACCCCGTGGAGATTTTTGACGAAAGATAGATTTTGCCTCCCATTCTCATTTCTTGCAGGAATCCCCGTTCCCCCTTAATTAATATCAAAATACAAATTTTTAATTAATATTCAATTATAATGAATAAAATTCTAAAAATTCAAGTACAATTAACTAAAATTATTTAAATATAAAATCAAATATAAATTGTCCAAACATAAATAAAAATCAATTAAATATAAACAACTAAATCAACAAACTTGTTGATGATGAATTGGGTTAATTTTTATGGGTTGAATTGGGTAAAATTGAATTAAGTTTAATTTTTATTGGATTGGGTTTGAGTTTGAAGATTGAATTAAATTTAAAATAAAATTAATTTACATATTTTTTTAATTTTTTGTAAGGATGAAGATCCTCATGGGGCCTTGTGAAATGAAAAAAATTTCCTGTAAAATTTCGCAAGGGAAAATGCTCTTGGGGTGAGGAGAAATATTCTGTCCCATCCCGTCCCGTGATGAGGATTCCTGCAAGGCTTATGAAGATTGAGACAAATTGCCTCCCCTACAACTATAATTAGATGATGACTTTCTTACAAACCTAATCAAACATTGGAGAAAGGCAGTAAGCCCACTAGGCAAAATGCCCTTCTGTCTGCACAAGGCCAGCTTTATGAATGTGAACTCTGAACAAAGTAAGTTACTACTCTGCCGAGGCTAGCTCTTTCGTGTGGATTTCGTGTAAGTTTATCCACTTTTCTTTCTTCATGCACTCGCGTTTGGATCTTTTATTTCGCATTATGGGCTTTGCATTATTTTTATTTCATTATTGGAGTCGAGGCCCAGATAAACGATGAAAATGGAACTTAGATTGGTTGGGCTACAAGAGTTTCTAGCAACGGGCTTCCACTGCAACAAAATAAACAAAATGGACCCTGAATGAAATAAATAAATAATTCACCACTTTTCCTTTTCACTTTTTTTTTTTTTTAATTTATGGTCTCTTTTTCTCTTTTACTATTTTAGTTTTGTACTTCATTTATCTTCTTACGATTTATCTTATTACGAGAATAATAGTAGTATTTTGAGTCAAA